AAAAAAAAAAGGCAGAAATGACAAGAAAGCCTTTATTCACAGATCTGAATTAAGGAATATTTCCATATCGTATTGCAAAAGAGACAGATAATATACACAAAACCAAAGAAAATGCCCAAGCCTAGCATATTTTAGGCTTCCTTAGGAAATCTGAAGTGTCAATTACTTGCACTGTTGATGTAAGGAAGCTTCTGATTACAGTTAATGCGAGTTAACCAGCTAGCATCAACAACAACGTGCTCCCTCTCCCATCTGCTTTCATGACAGACTGACCAACGCAAGTGCTTGAAGTTTAAGAGTCAGTACCGCAGGACCAAAGTGTTTCCATGGCCTGTTCAATTTTTCCAGGCTCCAATGTTCACATGAAATGCTAATGATTAACAGTCCCACAGCAGCTCAGACACAAGGTCCTCTACATCCTGTTTGGGGAAGGGGTCTCCAAAGGCAAATTTTTGCTTGGAACTCAACCAGTTCTGGAGAGCAAATGGGCTGTGAGACCTAGCATAGCCTGACCTCCTGACAAATTTACTGCAAGGTAGTAGTCAGCTACAGCACAAATTTAAAATGCTTTATGACAGCTTTATGGATCTTCCTATATGACTTTGGGGAAGTGATTTATTCTATAACCCTTAATTTCTCATTTTGAAAGAAGTATTGAAAAGAACAATGTTATTTAAAAGTTGTCAGGAGGATAAAGCAAGAAACAGCTGAGGCATTGTGACTGCCCCAGCAAAACATTTCATGGGGAAAATCCACAAATAAAGATTCAGTGCAAACACACTTCCCCTGTACTCTGAACACCTAAGGGCAACCATAAAAACTCCAGCCAAGGGTGTGGGATCTAGATCCACAGGCTCAACTGTCTGCTCTGCTTGGGGACAATATGAGCATCTTTCTTCCCAGACAAATATTAGGGGAAAAAAATTAAAAGGAGTACTTCTGAGGTACAATAACCTCAACCTTTAACGATATATAAACAGAGACTGGAGCTTGTGTGTGCAATCCCAACCCCCAGTAGTCGTACTCATTTCTGTACCTTTCACTGTGTGTGTTTTAAACAACAGGTTGAAGCCAGGAGAAAGACTGAGAGCTAAACTATCAGAGAAATGTGGTTTTCTGATAGTAATAAAACTTATCCAAGAGTCTGATTTTAATTCTCTTCAGAAAATTCATTTGAGCCTCAATCTATTTCATCCCACCAAGCACCATAGTGTTTATAGGGAGAAAAAAGGGGCTGACACCACCACCATAGTGGGCTTGCTAATCAAGTTTTTAATTTCCTTTCAGTTATATTTGCCTGAATTAAAACCTTATGCATCAAGCAAAAATAAAAGGGTTTGTGCCTTTGTTTGAGGAAGAAAAGACGGAAAAATCCTAAATTCAATTTTATTCAAAACCATTAATTTCCTTGGCAGCTGAACCAAAAGAACCCCCTAATTATTCCACAAATTCTAGCAAGATTATTTTATCCATGTCCTCATCAGCACAGTTTCCTCCTACGGCAGGTATAAAACTTGCCACGAAAGCATTAGTTCCTTAAAAGATTTTCTTATAGTCTGCTGCAACATCCTTTTTTCTTGTCAGTTAAAAAAAAAAAACCAAACAAAATGTAAAAAACAAACCACCCTCCAAAACCACTTTAAATCAAGAAAAGTTACAAGCAAACAGTCTCACAACTTCATTCTGTAATTCCTTATTTTATTCTACTGTTGCTTTCCTCGTCTTCCTTACTTCATGTGCACAGATATCTGAAATGTGCTACATTAATTTAACTCATATTTTGTGGTACACAAAACATATCATACACAAATTTTTGATACAGTGACAGGGAGTGTTTGCTCACCTGCTTCTCAGCAACCTGTTTGACAAGCCAATGAGAAGGCAGGAGCTCAAGAACACCAGAAACCTGCTGGGGTCTTGTGGCTCACTATCACCTGGACCAGGACTCCACTTCAGGAGCAGTCTACATCACCAGGGTCCTCAAGCACAGGGCTGCAGAGCTGATTTCTCTGAATACAGGCCTTGGGGTGAAGCCAGATGCAGAACAATACTTCCTTTTTGTACAGGATTTTTGAATGTATACCACAACTACATGAGAAATCTGAAATTTCTTTCTCCTATTTGAAATAATTACTTTCAACTATTCAGTCATAGCCCAGAGTCACCACTGGTTTATGATTTAGTCCTTCATGATAAACAATCACAAATAGAATATTGGTAACTAACAGCTTGGTGCATTTTGCTGCAGAAAATTGACTTGTCTGAATTAGGTACAACAAGGTGTTAATAATATAACAAACTTTGAAACATATTTCAAAAATAAAGCAGTAGCAGTTTCAAAACCACACATATACAATGCCATTAAACCTTTACTACACAGCTGAGAAGCGGCATCCATTTTGTGAACAAACTCATGGGGATGTCTAAGCAAGATTACTGTAGTTCTGCTGTACACAGGTTGGGGTGCTGCTCTTTAAATACTGTTACGCAGCAACATCTTTGTGAGTATTTAATTGAACCTCTATTCCGCTAATCATCTTTCACATCTGGTGTTAATCTAAAGAGATTAAAGTAATACAAAGTCTTTTTAACAACAGTGTTGGAATTATGAATTGATGTGCTAACTGCTATATGGAGTATTTCCTAGCCTAGAAGGAAAAAAAAAAATGTCAAGAGCAGCTATTCAGTTTGAGATATAAAGATAATTTATCTACAGACCTGCCATCAAAACAGGTTTTATAACAGGGGACACAGGTGGATGAAGATCCTGCTACAGTTCTGGGGAAGGGGGTGAGGGAAGCAGCAGCAACTTTAACATATGGAATCACTTGCCCGGAAGCTAAACAGATTAGTTTGAGACTTGTCACCCACTCGGTTAATGCATTAAGAACACAAACACCAAGTATGGATAAGATTATGCAAATGATTTGAATTAATAAAGCTGATTATTTCACTTGTACTGAGTTTACTTGACAAATGTTTGGCTACTGCTGCTAAATGGGGTGCACAAGCTCTGCTTAGTATAAGTACCTAACTGTACTGTGCATATGGAATTTAACATTGCTATTGCTAAATTCTAATTTAAAGAATTGTTCAAATCACTCTGAACTCTGAGTGAGACAAATCACTCACCACCAAAGGTAAAGGAGTTCACAAGTATATGTTCTTGCCTGTGTTGACATAGTTACAAAAGTGATATAAATTCATTGCAGCTACTTCAGTTCTTCTGCCCTATGTCAAGTTCACAACCAAGTAAAGAAACAGAAGAAACCAAGCATCTTCACATACCAGTTATCATTTCCCCTCCATGATGGCCAGATTTCAGAAATCCAAAGACTGTTTTGGCTTGATAGGCACAATCCACACAAGCCTGTACAGCCTGCTGAAGTACCACATTGACAGGACCTGGTCCGAAGTGGTCTGGAAGCTGCTGAACCTTCTTCTTGTCCAGGTGAGGCCCAGAATTTCCATGTTTGTTGACATAAACACACACTGAAAAGGTACAAGCCACATTTACTGCCAAAAAACCAAGACATGTTTCCAAGTTAGAATTGCAAAGTGCCATTTTAGTTTTAATCTTGAGGAAAAGATGTGCTGGTCAACTCAGAAACTGAGCGTGCACACAAACTTTCAGAGTATGTATAAAGTGCTCTTCTACTAAGGTTCTCCTGCCTCAGTCCTAAACCCACTTTTTCTTCCTGTTCTCTGAAGCCCTTCTCTACCTCACTAATGTAACAAGACTTGTATTTTGACTATCTCTGCTCATACACTAGTTCCAATAAAGTACGAATTACTGGCAGGTATTCTAAACTACCAAGACAGAATTCTAAAAAGCTGGTCTTACCAAGTTACAGCCTACATTTCCTTCTGTTTAAGAAGCTGCAACAAAGAGAGCCCTATGTTACATACCCACTACTGATGCATTCTGAAGCACCCACGTGGCACTAACATATACAGCGTCATCATACACACACAATGGCTACTGAAGGCCTGGACCTTAAGAAGATCCAAACTCCTCACATATGATCTCCACACTGCAACATGGCCTTCTCTGATAAATAAAATAAGCATTTCTCTAGAAACACTGTAAGGTGGTTTAAAGCTGAGCACAAAACAATCACGTAGGACTTTTGAAATTACTTTTTAAAGAGACAACATGAAATTGTCTTCCAAGGAGACTGCCAAGCCAGAAAAACATGGGAAAAAGATGTAACTGATAATTTTTTTTCTTGTTCACCCTCACTATCACATGACAAAAAATGCACCCAAGACCTTTTTATAGCTTAATAAAGAAAGAAATGTGCCTCTGTGGTGATTAAACAATCTAAACATTCTATTACACAAAAGACTGACATTTTCTGAATTGTAGTATGACTTGTACTTAGATAAAAACCTGGACTTTTAAAATTGAAGTAATTTCCACAGGAGTCCTCATGCATCTGTTTACTCTCTGATGTCTGCAAATTGGAGGAAACCTATTTGTACAAATAATCAAAGCTACAAATCAACAAAAATAGTTTCTATAGCATCTTCTGCCTGGGTTCAACAACAACTGCCTTCCAAAAGGTTTATTTTCCTAAGAAGAAAGTACATGTTTTCCCCTCATCCACGACTGAAATTGAGAGTGAGAAGAGCCTGACAACTCCAATTGTAAAAACAGGTTTTGAATGTAAAAAGGCATCTGAACAAAATTAGCATAATTTATGGAGTTTTTAGAAAGTTCTGAGATTTTGGATGACAACACACAAATTGTTTGACTACAGAGTTACCAGTTCCTCAATGGGTTAGTTCATTTACTAACTTATTTCTTTTCTGCTAACTCTTTTCAAGATGCATTTCATTACATTTGAAAGAAAAAAAAAAGCAAACATGAGGAAAGAGGAATGTATTCCCTCTGATTGCCTTTACTGGGTTTTAACAGAGTTGTTTCTTTTCATGTACGGCTATACAGAGATAAAATCTCCATTTTGTTATATCACAGTACAGTCTGCATGATATCAGAATATCATAGTTACATCTATTCCCGTTTCATACATTAGGCAGTGGGACAGACATGAAAGAACTGTACAGTTTCCTTCTTCAGACAGGAACAAACTGCCAGGTCTAGCAGATCTATCAAAAGCCCCTGTGCCCCAGCACTTACTGCTGTAATGCAGGAATCAAAATACCAGTTCTGTAAACTAACTCTGGTTCCTACAAATATCTTTAAAAAATAAGGTAGCTGGAAAATGATTTACAGTAATAAGTTTGCAGCACATTTGCCATAAAATGACACTATTATTTTCCTTGACATGGAAGCCATTTCAAACATTTTTTTCTTTGTCTTTTACCTGTGGATATAACTGCTGCAGTTGCACCAGACAAACTAATTCCATCTTTATATATCTGTGTAGTGCCATTGCTCCCCTCAGGAGATGATTGAGGAGAAGGAGATGCAGGAGTCGGTTGTTCTGGCAAGATTTTTTTCTGTTTAGAGAAAAAAAAAAAAAGTCAAAATGTTTAATGCTTTTTAAGGAGTCTACAAAACCTTTCTGCTATCAGTTACCATCTTAATGAATCTGTGTGGTTCCTTATTACACAAGTATCATACACAGCAGAGAAGGTAAAGTTCAGGAAAAGAAGACCAGAAACTGCCAGTTTGCATTTACAGCTACTTTAGTAACGCAGTAGAAGATAAATGACTTATAAAAGGAACTCACCTTTATCTAAAAAGTGGGAAAAGAGCAAGCCTTCTATACAAATTCATGGACTCTAAGTGTTACAAAGCATGGAAGAGGTGTTTTGGATTACTTCCCTGTCCATGCCCTTCAAATCACCTGGGTTTATCACAGTTCAAGTAAGTTAGTTGGGCTGTATACAAATTGTCATAAAAAACCTGAGTCACATCTGAACATCAGCATCACAGTGCACCTCTATTTTCCCTCAGCTTGTTTTGAAGGAGTTGGAATTCTCAAGTAACCACTTTCAGGAACTGGCGCTTCATGCAAGATATCAAATAAACTTGTCATTACAATCCAGTCATGTTGCTGCCGAAACCTTTTCCTTTCCCAAACCAAACTTATTTGAAGTTTATCATATGACAGACAACCACAGTTTACAGCATAGAGATTTCAAAACTGTTCAGCGTGCATTATCTTTTTCACCTGAGAAAAGGAGAATTTTGTTGTAATTTGGTTTGGACTGGGGTTTAGAAAAGAGATGTGCACAAGGAAGACCTTTTTAATGTGGTTTGACATACTATGAAAATACATGGAAATTAAAGAAAGAATAAATTGGAGTTGATCGCTTCTCCCTTCACTACTTATTCTCACATGAGAACAGATTAAATTCTCATTCTCTCAACTAGTAAATATTAAGAATATAAGAGATTACTCAAGGTCTTGGCATTGCTGATTGCAGCAGAGACTTGTGGTCATGTGATAAGGGTTCACTGTTAAAACTGATAAATAGTAAAAATTCAGTCAAGTCCCTAAGGGAGGCTAAACCCTTTTCTATTTAGCAATATTCATCCTTCACACTTTTAAAAGCAGCATATTTTCCAAATAATGTATTAAAAACAATGTAGAAACCAATCAAAATATATACTTCCCTAAAAAAAGCAGTGCTTAACTTCTTCACAACATCTATAAAGAATAAATTAACTTCCTCCTGAAATCTAGGGCACTTTAAAGAAAAATTCTGGTCCCCTTACAGTTCAGAGAAGATAGGTTTCTCTGGAGAAAGTGCTTGACAATATGGCACTGGTGAAATCACCATGAACATAAGGAATAGACTGCCAAGGTTTGGCATTGCATTGTGAATGAGATGAGGGTTAGACACAGAACCAAGTAGTGATGTATTACGTGTCAGGAATTGCCAGGAATCTTTACACTGGGTGACAGAAAGGTCTCTCTCCATCCTTAATACAGAGAACTAAAATGGACTTGGGAAGACTGAGCTTTTAATCTGAAATCTAATATTCCTGAAGACCCCCTGGAGCAGGGGCAGCAGTTGTCCGTCACCACACTGGAAATTACGGGTGGTCAAGTCAAGGAGAATGATGAGGTAATGGGGAAAAATGTAGCCATGAAAACAAAATACAAAACTAAACTAAGAGGAACCATCTGCTCTCCACACTAACACACAAGTGTGGTGCAGCCAGCCGGACATTTCCTATCTTGTCCCTCAGAAGGAAACACAGCACGTTACGCTTGCTCAGCTGAGGCTCTCACTTTGTGTCCCACACTGAGAAGCAGTGAGCTGTGAGCCCAAAGCCATTGTCTTTCACACTGTCTGCATGCAGAGAGCACTGCTCACAGTCTGGTACCACTGGGCCAACTTCACTGGCTTTACCCTGACACTCTAAAACTCCTTTTTTGTGGGGTTGAATTTAGGGCTGTTACTCACACTCAGACCGAGGTGTTTCCTCAAGAAATTCTGAAAGGAATTCTCTGCACTGTTATGTGAAGTGTACTTTTAAAATATAATGAAAGAGATGTAAAGAGATTTCTTCTTCATTATGACAGCGTAAAAACACACAGTGCAAACTGTGAGAAACAAATGGAAAACAAAATTCAGCATGCCTCTCATGCTTGCAGGAAAGTTTAGAAAAAAATTTAAATAAAGGAGAAAAATGACGCAAGAGCTCAACATTCCTAGCTGTACAATAAAAGTTAATATCTGCACAATGATAAACATTGCAGCATAACAAACCTAAAAGAGCAAAGAAATTCAAACAACTCTACAGAGTAACAGGTATAAACCAATCTCCCTAAACACAG